CATCTGTGCCAAGACCTGCTCAAAATAGGGTTCAAGTTGGAACTGGAAGAGGATTGGGAAGAGAAAAAGCTAATGCAAGAGGAACTTCATTTGTTACAGAAAGGGATAGTTCTTCTAGTTAATTGCCACCTTTATCAGGTCACAAGAGACCATACAGTTCTGCCTCATTTGCTGCTGCTACTGGAGAAAACAGAAGGCCTGCAACTGGTTTTGGTGTTTACTCTAATCCTACAACTGGAGCCCAAGTATTAAATGTATGTTCACTTAACATGTTTACCTATTTTAGTGTATATTTTATAGCCATATTATAATCTAACATTATGTTAAACTTTCTATCTTATATTGCAGCCTGGTATATCAAGTGAGAAGATTCTACATGGGCCAACAACATTGAAGAGTGCTTCACCAACCAATATAGACATTGGTTTTAAACCCCGTGGCCTAAAATGGAAGGGAAAAGATGCTGTCAGCACCTCACAGTTACAACAAATGAAAGCTAAAAAAAAAACTGGAAGTAGTTCATTTGGGAAGTTGGTGTCTATTTGAAAACAATTTACTCTTTGGTTTATTTGAACACTTGTCTAATGTATTTTTGAACATTGTATTTCTGTTAGCAAGACTATGCCTATTGTAAGACAATGGTTTTCTATTACCTCTCAATGCATTTGTGTTATGTATTTCCATTACTTACTGTGTGTTATGTATTTTTCAGTAATGCATTTGTGTTATTAACTTACTTTTTGAACAACAACTACACTACCTTTCAAAGCATGCCTTTTGTTTTTGTCAATAAGAGTACTAATCAATTCAATTCCAGAAAAAAAATTAAAACACATGGCAAGTGATCAATTCAACAGAGATCAATTCAACTCAAACTTCCAATTTGATACAAAATATTAAGGACATATACCAATTAAAACATCACTAATTGATCTAGAATAACTACCTAACTACTGCAAAACTAAACAATTAAGTATTACAATCCTGAACTACTATCAACTACAAAATATTAAAGAACCATTTAATAGTTAGTAGACAAAGAAAAACAATGACAATTCGATTAAATTTGACATTTTCCCAATCCCTTTGGAGTTTAACTTCCTTAAGCTTCTTGTTCAATACCATCAATTTCACTTCACTTTCATTCAATTGAAATTTCAAAGAATCTTTTTCTTCTTCAAGCTCTTTCACTTTTCTCTTTAGTCGATCAATCGGATTTTGACCGTCTATGAGTCTATTCATTGAGGATGATTCATCAACATTTTCAAGCGACGGATCAATCCATCTAAAATATCCACATCCACCATTTTCCTACAAACCATATAACAGTAGTAAGACGTAATAAATATACCAAAATATTGATTTTTCAAATAGTACAACAAGAACAATTTTTGTTTGAAAAATAACAAACCTTTGATGATTTGCATCCAAAAAATCGACGACCTGGGTTCAAAGGAGTCCTCGAAGTTTTCAGTCGACAATAATAACCACACTTGCATATATCAACTTCATCGAAATTTACTGAAATTTGCGACATTTGATAAAAGAGAATTGATTTAGAGAAGAAGAGAGAAACTTGGATATTTAGAGAAGAAGAGAGAAACATGGAGATTTAGAAGTAGAAGAGAGAATTGGAGATTTAGGGTTCTAAATGGATTTTGGGGAAGAGAAATTAGGGAAGATGATTTGGGGGAAGAGAATTGGGGATTTCACTTCAACTAATTGGGGAAGATGATATTGGGGAAGAGAATTGGGGATTTCACTTCAACTTTTACATTGAAGTGCAATGTTACTGTTGCTGCCATGTAGGCAGTGTAAAAAATGAGAAAAAAACAAATTTACGCGCTCCATTTGCGTGAATCACAAACGATTTGCCATGTAGGCAAAAAATGGTTTTATGGTTCAAATCGGGGTGGTTAAGGTGTTCAATAGGTAGTACGTCTAGTTGAGGTGTCTAAGTGAATAATTGGGACAAGTTTGAGTGGCCACATATGACTTTGGCCTTATTTTAATGCATGTATGTATTATTGAGTAGTTAAACATGTTGGGAGCCGTTTTTTCTTGCGTGCATATATGCATTTCATGACATATATAATAATAATAATAATAAGAAGGCAGAAATGAATTGAAAATAAAGGAAGTAGTTAAAATATTATCCAATCTCGCCATTTATTTATTATAAAATATTAGATACGATACATAATTAATTAAGAGATGGATGAGGTTTTTTTTTGTATATATATACTCACTTCATTTATTTAGGTGTGTGTGAGTGAGTGATGATGGAGTAGTCCTAGGTAATAGTGACGGTTTCTAGAGATGTAAGTATCCCCAAACTTGCTGCCAAAGTTTGACCCACCACATCCTGAAGTAAGTTTCCAATAAGGATAACAGGAGCTACAAGTTTTTCTGTGGTTGGAGTCAAAGTGCAATTAGCAATTGGGAGAGGAATCCTTGCAATACATGTTCCTGACAGAAGACTTGTATTGGTGGACACTGCAGCATTAATAATGCCTTGACTATTTGTGGACACTTGAGCAATCGTTGTGTTGCCACAAATAATCGTTACATTTGCTCCACTCACTCCGACGCCTGGGGCATTACTTCCCGGTACGGAGCAAGACAAACTCCCAATATAGTTAAATTAATATTCGTTGGTATAATCGGTGGTACTTGACCACCAACAGGTGGTACAATCGGTGGTATACTAATGGGTGGTACAATCGGTGGTATATTAATGGGTGGTACAATGGGTTGGCCAAGAATAGGACCAACAATTGGACTGAGAATAGAACCAACAATCGGTAATTGACCAAGACCAACATGTGCTACTTGACCGACGGGTGGTACAATACGTGGTGCAGGTTGCCCCAAAATGGAACCCACAAGGGGAATGGGACCCAAAATGGGACGAATAATGGGACCAATGTTAATAGGCAATTGAGCATGGGCTAGAGGACTGGTGGTGATGATGGAAAGTAGAATAAAAAGGGAAACAACACACATTTTTGAAGACATGACGATTTGATAATTTTTATTCTGTTCAATATACCCTTTATATAGTGCTCCTTTTTATTTACTCCACCCCTACCATAACTTACCCCACCCCCAACCTATATAAATGATTAAATATATTATCTTTCATCCCTAAATAAGACTTACAAATATCTCACATATATCATCATTAGTTAGGTTGAAACTCATCAACTTGAACAACATTGGGACCATACAAATTAATTAATTCAATATCATTTGACTTGTCATAAGAAGAAATTTTTTTTGTAAGTTGAGGCCAAAAGGCCTTTGGTTTGCCCATAGGATCTATTTTGATGGAATAAATAACTCCACTTGGTTTGGGTGTCAAAAAAAAAACAATAAAAATAACAACAACAAAAGAAGATTTTTGAAAATAGTTGTGTGATTGTTAATCACTTCATTTAAAAAAAATTAATGTTATATCATGTTTTTAATTATAATAAACTACACTATATAATAATAACAACAATAACAATAACAACAACAACAACAACAACAACAACAACAATAATAATAATAATAATAATAATAATAATCAAGGGCAAAAAGCTAATCTACTTGGTCAACATAAAATGACTTTTAAGTTTTTATAAAAAAAGAACCCCTCACCTATCTTTTAGATTTTGGCATAAAATAAGTCATTTTGGACTTAAAATAAGTCACTTTGATAATTGTCAAACACTCAAATAAATCAAAAACTGAATTTTAAATCAGTTTGACCAGCTTTTAAGCCCATTCCAATAGGCTCTAAGTGTGTAAATGACTTTTCTATACAAGTTCAAGATGAAATTTATGTCTTTTTCCATTTGAAATACCATCACAATACTTTATTTCTCACGCCATGTATTCATGATATAATAAAAGATATATATATTAAATATTGAATAAGAAATTTATGGGTGCCTCAACTATGTTAAAAAAAGACATATGTCTTAGGTCCCCCTAATTTAAGGGGCCTCATTTTTAATAATAATAGGTTATAAGTTATTGTTTTTAAACAAATATTGAATACTATTTGTAGAAAAAGTAAATTTTTTCATGAAAAATAAAGAAATTATAGAAGAAATTTGACATGTTTGAAGTAATATATCTCATGAAAAATAATTTAAAATAAGAATGATTATATTATCAATTTAAAACTACAAGAAATCAATTATATAAAGTTATTGACGATTCAAGTTTAATGATCTATTTAATTTTTATTTTAGGCCGTTAATATGCTTAAGCCGCTTCTAAAGAAATTTTGGTATTTTTTCAAAGAATGATGTAACATAAAAGTTATAATATAATATGTATTTTACTTTATCAGAAAATATCAAGAGAATGTGGGATGAACGCATGAGTTAATTTGACAAAGTTTAACCATTCATTACAATATTACTAAAAATAAGGGAAAAGGGTCTAATATACCCTCAACTTTGTCATTTGGAGCTAATATATCCATCGTTATAAAAGTGGCTCATATATGCCCTTACCGTTATACAAACGGCTCACATATATTCCTCACGTTACAAAATGGCTCATATATACCCTTTATTTAACGGGAGTTAAAAACTTAGTTTTAAATTTATATTTATTACTTGTAATTTTTTAAAAAAAATTATTTAGGGGTATATATGATTCTTCTATCAAAGTTCAAGGTATATTTTAATTTTTTTCATATATAAATTATTTTTTGACTTTTTTTATTATAATTATTTGAGTTTCTTATTCTTATGTTTTTTCTTTCATTCCTTAGTTTAAAGAAAACAAATTTAAACTATTTTTTTTGTGTGTATTGTAATTTAATTTCGTATTTGAAGAAAAAATTTGGTCACCTACAATAAGTTTTACAAGAATATTAGTGAAACATAAATAAATATGATTATCAAAATAATAATTATAAATTAGTCATTGAAACAAAAAAAGGTCAAAAAAAATATGTTTGACGAGGATTAAATTTACTTATATGGAATTATATTTTTTAGAAAAAAATAATAAAAATTTAGATTAAAATTATTATTTTTTCCATTTCCGATAGAGGAAAAGGGTATATGTGAGTCATTTCTTTACAAGTAGGGGTATATATGAGCCACTTTCATAACAAAGGGTATATCAACTCTAAGTGACAAAGTTGAGGGGTATATCAGACCATTTTCCCTAAAAATAATAATCTATCTTATTTAATGGCTCAATAAGTGAATGAAAAGACGTGTTAAAATTAATGTAATTAAGTATTTTACTTTTACAAATTATGACTTACCCGACCTAACTTAGTACCATAAGCTAATAGCTTTCTCTACTATAGCTTGCCAAACTATATATGCTTTGAAGACCTTTACTATTAAAATAAATTATCATAAGATAAGGTGAACAAATATGTAATGCTTCCGATAGGGGCTATTAACTAATGAAATACCTCAAATATTTGTATATTTTTACAAACATAAGGGTTGTCCTACTTTCTTTAGAATAAGTTGATAATATATTAGATTGATAGACCCCCTTCCTTTTGAACTGCTAATTTTTATTTGTCCAACAGATAAAAATATCTTTTGAAAAATAACACCAAATTAGTTTATTGTTCTTATCATATATTATTTTTATTTGTATGGATGTGAATACATGCATGGGCCATGGCCTGATAAATCTTGTTCGTCTTCAAATTAAGCATAGTTGGGCAAGCTATACTATAACACTAAATCAAAATTCACATTTAGCGATATCTAATTAATGGTAAGTCGTTAATAATTTAATATTGTCGTTAAATATGTGTTTTTGAAGGTAATTAGTAGTACTCTTTGTATATGTCTATAGAGTCTGTAGTGATATTGAATATAATGACGATTAATTAATGTCGATAAAGACTTTAATTATCAATCTATATTAATATGTATATTTCTTGCCATTAAATGCTATTTTTATTTAAAAAACTTACATAAATATACTTAATTAAAAAAAACACTTACCATTTATAGTACTAACGTTTTTTTTTCACTTGATCATAATGATTAATAACTTGCAATATTTCCTTCACACAACCTGAGTTAGGTTGAAAATGATCAACTTGAAAATTGGGATCACAAAAAATAATGTCGCATCATTTGACTTGACACGATGTTTAACAAAAAAAAGACTTTTTAAATTAACCCATCCTTAAATTGTAAATCATTTGTAAAATAAAAGAAAATTAAACATTAAATAATTTTTAAATTAAGTATGAAAAGTTGTCACTGGTATCATAGTTGAATTTAAAAGCTCAATGATCCTTTATTGTGTTTGAGAGAGGACCTCGGCATTCACAAAGAAAACTAAACATTAAATTATTATTTTTAAATATGTTGCTATCATATTCTCATTAAAAAAAAAGAGAATGCACAAGTACTCCCTCAATCTATGTCCGAAATTATAGAGACAAACTTATATTATACTAAACTCCTATTACCCTCTGAACTTATTTTATAAGTTTCTCTACCCCTTTTCGACCTACGAGACACTAGTTTGAAAAAAAAATCAACCAGAGTTGGGCTCACAAGATAGTGCCACGTAAGTCAAAAATAGATAGAAAATTATTAATAAAATAAGTTTAGAAAAATAAGAACCCTATTATAGTATAAAATTATTAATAAAATAAGTTTAGAAAAATAAGAACCCTATTATAGTATAAATATGTCTCTGAAATTTCACACATAAATTGAGGAGATATTGCACTTGTTTGTAATTGAGATAATGGTAATAAACCAATCACTTCACCATTTATATATATTTTTACAAACATGAGGGTTGTCGTAATAACTTAATTACCATTGAATATATATTTAAAGACAATTAGCAATACTCTTTATAAATATCCCTGAAGACTACAGGGATATTGGATGAAATGACAATTAACTAATGTCAATATAGGCTATATATAATTATCAACTTTTATATAAATATGTATAATTTTCGCAGCTAAAAGCTATTTTTATTTTAGTGCAGATTACATATATGTAGACCTTAAATAGACAAATTAATCTAATTGTCCTAATTTAGGTCGGATAAGTGAGAATTTGTTGGAGTAAAAACTTATATGAATTAAAGTAATTTTAAGGTGTTAAAATCTCTTTTCATTCAATTATCTGAGCCATTAAATAACATAAATTATTGTTTTTAATAATAAAAATTGTTATAATGAATGTGGAAAAATGCACAAGTACCCCGTCAATCTATGCCCGAAATCTCAGAGACACATTTATACTATACTAAGGTCCTATTACCCCCCTAAACTTATTTTATAAGTAATTTTCTACCCCCTTTTGGCCTACATGGCACTAGCTTGAAGAAAAAAGTCAACCAGCGTTGGGCCCACAAGATAGTGTCACGTAGGCCGAAAAGTTGTCGGTTAGGTAATTTCTCAAAAAAATTATAATACTTTCAAATATATGAGTAAAGTTGAGTTTATTATTGATTTATCTTTACTGGACTAAGTGTTTACACTGTTTTACAAGCTTTCCTTATATCGCATGTGTCCTTACTGCTCTATATTGAGTTGTTATTTCATGAGTTGAGCAGAACCAATGTAAGTTCATCCTTACTCCTTTCAAGCCTTTTAGTAGTGTTTAGCATTCCAATTCGCACACTCGTACATTCAATGTACTGATGCCAGTTGGCTTGCATGCATCGTCTTATAATGCAGAAGCAGGTAATCAGGATATGCAGCGCTTCGTTGATCCAGTTTGAGCTCTAGAGTCAGTGGTGAGCCTCCTTGCATTCCGGAGGATCCTTTTATTGCTATCTAGTTAGTTCAATAGAATGGTGTGGGGTTTGTCCCAACATTCATCTCAGTCAGTTTAGAGGCATCATAGACTGATAATTAGTAGTTAAGTTGTGTCTCTTCATTTCAGATTCTATATTTGAGACTTAAGTGCAAATTTGGTCAAGACAGTATTTAAAGTCATTTTATGAGAGCTTTTCCAATTCTATAATTGAGTTAAGTTGAGTCTTCCGCTGAGTTAAGTAAGTCAGGCCAAAAGTTCGCTCGAGGCCAGCAATAGTCACCAAGTGCTAGTCCCACCCAGAGTATAGGCTCGAAGCGTGGCAATATATACATTTCATATACGACTTACATATTCAGATATTTTTGACATTTTGTTAGAGCGGAAGAGTCTTAACTTACATATTTAGGTGAAGTATTGATATTTTGGGATATTGGTACTTATTATTATTTTACTTTACTACTTATTTATAAGTCTACAACACACGGTAAGCACACACAAGGTGCAAAACATGTGCTCGAAGTAAATTTAATTTGAATGAGGTTAATTTGGTCATTTATATAATACTCAATGCTTTTTTTACTTGTACAAAATGAAAAATTGTTTTTTATGGACATCAAATGACCAAAACTCCAGTATTCTTTAACTCAATTGTCATATGTTATAGAACATTGCAATTGGTTGAAAATCAACTTTAATGTAGTTGCAATATAATTATTTTTACTTCTTGTCAAAACTGCCCCTATGCGGCTTAAGCTTATTTTATTAACCATGTGTTATTACGTGGAGAAATTAAAGACATCTTCAGATGAGTCATTTTAAGCGGTATCGACCTAGATATATATATATATATATATTCTTTTTGTTTTATTTATGTCATTCTTATTAAAAATAGGTTATATTTAATATTTGTCATTTCATAAAAGTAATGCACTATATAGTAATGCTATTATGTTTATTTTACACTTCTAAATTATTAATCTTGAAGTATAGAAAGCTAAGTAACTAATTCATGTTTATTGGTCAAATTAAATAGTCAAAATAAATAAATTCATGTTTATTGATTGAAAACTTGACTTCAAAAAACAGTAAGAATAGAATAAAACTTAGCTTAGTTTCGTAATACACATGAAATCTAAAATAGTGACATATAAATAAGATTGGAGAGAGTATAAGTTAATTCTCTATTTGTGTCATACAAATAGAGAATTAAGATATTTCCTCCATTACTTTTTATACGACATCCTTATTATAAATAGTTAGTCTATAATATTTGTCAATTCATAAAATCAATGTATAAATTAGAGTACGGAGACTTAAGGGTGAATAATATTGACAAAATTTTCAAAAGGGTATGTCAATTTTTTTAAAAAAAATTAAAACGGTAAAATCGCTACTAATGTAGCGATTTATTTGGCCAGCATTATGACAAATCGCTGCTCGAGTAGCGATTTGCACAATTTTTTTTAATTTGAAATCGCTATCTCATCTGCGATTTTTTGTTTTTTTTAAAAGGGATAATGCCCAAGTACTCCCTCAACATATGCCCGAAATCTCAGAGACAAACTTATACTATACTAAGGTCCTATTACCCTCCTGAACTTATTTTATTAATAA